CAAATGGGGAAACGCGGACGAGCGGCCGCGATTCGAGGCTTGAACCCTAGATAAATCCCCAAACATCCCCAAGTTTACGGGGCCGCGGGATCGAGAGCGCCGACAGGCGGCAGCCTCTCCCTCGATCGATCATCCAGGCAATGCGGGTGGGTGGGGGTGGGGGTGGGGGCCTTTCCTTACCTCCTCCTCCGACGGCCACCGCGACGGCGACCCTCCTCCCGCGGGCGCCACCATTCCTCCGCCCGCCGCCGATCTCGCCGCTCGCCGCTCGCCGCCTAGCAGGTGGTGGTGGCCGTGTACGAGTGGCGCGGCCGCAGTGTGCGCGGGGCGGCGTGAGGTGGCGTGTGCGCGTTTGTTTCTTTCCGCCTTCGATCGAGCGCGCGTGAGTTGTTTATCTCTGGCTGGCTGGCTGGCTGGCTGGCCCCGTCGTCGCGCTGTCAGTCAGGCCAAGGTGGGTCTGCTAGTGTGATGGCGATTTGTTGGTGGTCGATCACGGGATCGCCGCCGTCCACGCCCGCACGGACGGACGGATGGATTGTGTACACATCTGTGACAGCTACGTTCGTCCAACCGCTGCGATTCTCTGAACGGACGACAGTGATCTGCGTTGCGGGAAGACGGTACGGAACTAAGGGTTCATAAGTCCTATTACTTTTTTTAGTCCCAACTAAAAAGTCTTTAGTCCCTAAAAAATCTTTTCCTGTTTGTTTTCAGAGACTAAAAAATCTCTAGTTCCTCCCTAAAGATTAATAAATGACCATGTTATCTCTAGTATAAAAAAATAACAACCAAACAACACCATGGAGCGACAGGTCAATGGGTGCATGGAGAAGCATTGTTGAAAAGTTCTAAAAAGTCCCAAAAAAGACTTCTTCGGGCCGACCCAAACGGACGGCGTTTTTGTCCGTTTTTTGTCCGTTTGGGTCGGCCATCCGCCTGCAGTCCGCCCTTTTTTAGTTTTGGGTCGGCAGTGCGTGACCGCACGCGTTTTAGATCATGTCGTCGCCCTGGTTTTGGCGCACCAGCGCGCGGGGGAAAGAGGCCTAGCGCGCTGGTTTTGGCGCTCCAGCGCGCGCGCCGCGGCCGGCGCTCGTTATAAAGAAGGCGCTCCCTCCACACTCTGTCCGCCGCCCACTCTCGCCGCCTCTGCGCCACCATGTCGATCCACCGCCTGGGCGCTTCAGATTTTCGCGGAGTCCGCAAGCTCCGCCCCGGCGCCTTCTCCTCCAAGATCTGGTTTCGCGAGAAACGTCTCATCCTCGGCACCTTCGACACCGCAGAGGAGGCGGCCCGCGCGCACGACGCGGCGGCGTGGCGCCTCCTGAGGCCTCGTCGGGATATGATTTTTCCCAACGTGTCGAGACAGCGGGCGCAGAATCTGGCGCCTCTCCCGCGGCTTTTCACCGACGAGGACCGTCGTGTTCACCAGAGGCGGCAGCGTCGCCACGCCATCGCGGAGAAGGACGTGGAAGCCTTGGTGGTGTGGCGTGGAGGCTTTCTGCAGGACATCGTCGACGAGCGCCAGTTCTACAAGCAAAGGAGATTGGAGAGGGGCGCGAGGAGGAGGGAGCGAGCCGCCTATCGGGAGGACAAGCGTTCGCAGAAGCAGGCAGCTCAATTGAAACTGAAGCTACGAGAAACGGCGGGTTGGGATTTTGAAGACGAGGCGTATGCTGACGCCTACATTCAGACGTCGGAGGAGGACATTACCGAGTCAGAATCAGAAATCGACGAGTAGTGGTCTTTTCTTTTTATCTGTGTACGCTAGAATTATCTATGTATCCATTTTTATCTGAAAAATGGCCGGCGGCATTGGCGACGTAGCAGGCGGGCGAGGGTGTGAATCCAATGTGCTACCGACCAGCGGGTTTGGTGAGAAAAGAGGACAAACACGCGTGCGTCCGTCTTGTGTCCGCGCCGACGCAAATCAGGCTCAAAAATGGGCAAGAAATGGGTCGGCAAGCGGACGAAAGCGGACCCAAACGAACAACCACGAACGAAATGGGTCGCCCCAGTGAAGTTGCTCTAAGAGTTTTCTTCATTTAGTCCTAAAAAGCAATTTTTAGTCTCTAGTTGTCTTTCTGTTTAGTTAAAAAAATTAAGAGAGGCTTTTTCTAATACCTATCTAAAAAATCCTTGGAAACAAACGCCCTAAGTTACGTGTTTCGTTCGTGTGCTGAGCTGCGATCCGGTGCGGTTGCGAACAAGACAAGTACTGGTACACGGGACGGGAGGACAATAACGGCGGAATGTGTGAGTGACGTGACCACACACGTTCCTGTAGCTCAACACGCTGCATGCATGTGCGCGAGGGGCCACGGACTCACGGTGCTGTTTTTAGCGTGCGTGCTACCGAACAAAATGGAAATGGAATCTACGGAATTTTTGTCTAAAAAAACCACCTGCCAAATCGAATTAACAGAAAAGACCACCTTAAAATTCAAATGGCAAAAAAGACTAGCTCACCGTGGCGGCGGGAGCGCCAGCCGACACGTGGCATCAGGCGGCAGCACCTGCCGCCATCGTCGCAGGCGGCATGTTGAGCAGCACAGCTACAAGCTTTGCCTTGGAACGGAAAACGGAAGACGTGGGGCCTGCCGCCACATGCTGCGGCGGCACCCTTTGCCAGCACCAGGTTTGCTCTATTTTATCAAATGGGTGATGGGACTGCGCATGCATTATCTATGCATGACATGAAAGCATGCGCATGTCTGTGACTGAGTGTGTTCGCTGGCTAGCTATCAGCATTCTTTGCATGCATCGGTATGGAGTCAAGCTATAGCCACGGTAGCACTGCCACCACGCTAGCCAAAACATGAGCAACAGCAACAGAAGCTGCCGCCTCGCATGGTGACGGCAGGTCCCAAAGGAGCTGCTCCGTTCCGTCGCACTGACGAAAATCTGTGGCACGACGGCTGCCGCCTGAGGCAGTGCGGCAGGTGCTGCCGCCTGAGCCGGTGGCGGCAGGTGCCACGTGTCGGCTGGCGCACCTGCCGCCACAGCTTCACTGGTCTGTTTTGCCAATGTGATTCAAATGTAGTCTTTTTTGTCAATTGTGTTCCACAAGTGGTCCTTTTGGACAAAAATTCGAATCTACGATCGGTACATGTTGTTCGTGAACTCATAGCTAGGTGCATCTCCCAGGTAGACCCTCAAAAGCACGCATATGTCGGACAAAACTGTTTGGACGTAGTTTGTCATCAACACAGTACCTTACAGCCTACGGATCAGTCCGGTTATTCAAATTCCGTGAACCGAAGGCAAATCAGGGGGTACGAGCGGCCGGGCCACTACCACGTATGCGTCCGCCACCCAGGGTCCATACAGAAACACTCCCGTGCCCAGAGATCGGGAAAGTCGTCTATGTAGACTCGGAGATGTCGGCAGCCGTGATCTGCAAACAAATCGCCACCCCAGAAAAGAAAAGGTCGATAAAGGCATGTAGAAAACTCCGGAGACCATGAATGCCAGACGAAACTATCAGAAACCTCAACCGGCTGGATCCCAAAAGACCCACCGGAGACATGGCTCCACATGCCCTCCGCTGGGGGTAAACACACCAACTGAACAAGGAAAAAGGGGGAAGAACATTATTCCTAGACATTGACAATGTCACCACCTCGCTGCCCCAAACCAAACTCGATGACTCCATAAAGAAAGCCTGGGCAAAAAATCATCCATGTCGTTGTACGCGAAGTTCGAATTAGATGTCGACCTCCCCGCCGTCCAGGACGATGCACCGACATTCTCTTCTTCCAGTTACCTAGCAAGGTCATGCCGCTTAATAATCGCCGTGCTGGATCACCAACGCCGCCCAGCCGCAGCCTGACCATGCATCATCGTCGCCGTCCTACAGCAGCCCACCAACTTCTTCCTACCGGGCTCCCGATGAGTAGCGGCCTCCCCACCATCATCGGTGTCCCGCGGGAGTTGCCCGATGGCTAACCCTGGCGAGGATAAGAGAGATTGGATCACGGCTGGCGGTTAGGTTAAATCACATGTGCGTTTCCTTCTTAAAATTTTATTATATGCATTTCTTTATAAAGGAAAACGATTGCAACACCGAGGGGTATTTCATTGTATTGTCAATTCGGTTTAAACTAATCACCCATTGCTAGGTGGGACAGGGACCGTTTTTTTTGTAAGTGTGCTACAGTTTTCTTTTGTTTAGTTCTCCATTTTATATTCACTAGTAGGTGCTTACTTTTACTGATTGGCCCATGAGGTCGATAGAAACAAGCAAAAAAAGACCTCAACTTGCGCCTCACCATGTCACGTTTGCAATCTGAACTAAAGTGAACACATTGGACAAGTTCGTGAGTTCAAATAATCAGTTTTTTGAGTTTATGGACTGAAGTGAGCATTTATGACAAGTTCATGTATCAGTGATGTATTTAACTCCAAAAAAAGTCAAATCCTAAACCCAAAACAATAATAAAAACACAATTTTATACACATATTTACCTTCTTTGCAAACACCACACATGAAAATATATCTTCATGTAACTTCATACATACAAGCTATACATGTATTTGTAGAAGCACACTTTTTCACAATTTTTCATGAAGTGGAAATAAAGTTCTCATCCAAAAAAATGAATAAAGGGCTCCGTGCAGCTCGACCTCGAAAGTACATCGTCGTTGCCATCAATCAAAATGAAGCGCGGGATTCACTGAAACGAAACAGCAGACATGACCCACAGGAAAACCCTATTTGACGCTCTCTGCGGTAAAATGTCCAGCGCACAAGCGGACTCACCCAGCGCGACAAATAGGCCGGCCCATTTAGCCACAGCGAGCCAGTAAATTTTGGGAACCTTTTAGAAGGTTCAACCGATTTTTTTATTTTCTTTTTTCGTTTTTCTGATTTCTTTGCGTTTTTGTTTCTCTTTTATTTATTTAATTTGTTGTTTTATTTTTACCTTTTAGTTTATTTTATTTTTTTTCAAAAAATGTCTTGTTTTCTAAAAATGTTTGGAAACTTAAAAAAAGTGTTTTTTAAAACATTTTCAAATTTTGTTTCTGTTTCATATTTTATTCATGAATTCAAAAAATGCAAAAAAAATATAAAACCATTTGCGTTTTTTTAATGTTCAGAATTTCAAAAAAAATGTCTCAGGCTGAACAAAGTACTTCTCATGCTACGAAAACAGAGAAATAAGAAAGTGATAGTAGTAACCAGGCTTATTGGCAAGCTAGGGGTCTTTAACTAACACAAGTCTGAGCAGAAAGTG